CTCGTTTAGTATAACATCGGCAGCAAGAACGACATGTAGAAAAAAAAAGTTCGATTCGACGGAAGCAGACAACAACGAGTCGGTCACAAGAAGAAACAAGCAAATATAGAGAAGGAAAAAGAAGAAAAGAAAGAAATGATAGATTAGTCAAAAGACCTACTCTTTATACATGCATATATATATATATATATATAAATATAAATGAAAAGAATCATTGACTGACAAGCTCATTGCTTTGTAATGAAAATAAAGCAATGTGTTCTATTTGCAATATTTCTTAGCAATATATACACGAGAATTTAATTAAAATATTTGTTTTTCGAAAAATAAAAAATAAAACTACGTGCAAATTTATCTATTTGTTGTTAGACTATAATGAAAAAACTTTTATTACAATGAGTAATATGTAAAACAAAAACAAAGAAGTTTTTTTTAGAACTGATAAGAAAAAAATGAGGCTGTCAGAATGAAATATGAGAGTGAAAGTATCAACAAACAGTTTTTTTTTAACATATGCTTTGTTTAAATACTAGTTTGAAAAACTAGGAAATGCTTTTTTTATGATAAATATTCAAAAATTGACTTAATATAGAATTTATTCCAGATATAATAATTTATCAGTCTTGACATGTTTATCTTAAAAAAATATCTTCAGTTTTATTCAATAGTATTGATTATTGTACCGATAAGATGATTTTTTGATATCAATATCAAAGCAGTTATTGTAGTACCTATGATTAAGTCTTTAAATTATTGTTGAAACAAAAAATTTTCGTTTTGTTAAAATATGATTTATTTATGCAAAAAAGATTTTTATATCAATGTCAATACTAACATATCTAATCATCCATAAAATAATAACACCTTGAGTTTGATACATTCTGTTTATAAATATAGATGAAAGAATGAGTAGGATGTAAGATAATTTATTTATCACGTTGAATCTGTTTTATTTATGATTGATTTTCATTACTAATGTGTATATAGAGAGAAAGATTTTAGAAAATTTATGTCATTTGTTTAATATTCAGAGTGACATAAATGTATCTTTTGAGATTAATCGATACGTTTTTAATAATATTGTAAGAAAGATGAAAGTTACAAGTATAATCTGAATGATATAAATTTCATTATTATATTGAAAAGAGTAATAAATCTGTAAGATACACAGTTTGTAATTATATTGTTGTCAAATATTGATTATAAACACTCAAAAAGTGTGAATTTATAACATAACGTATTGAATGTCATAATTGTCTTTCGAAGTTTTTTATACAATCGAAGGATTCGTAGCTTTGATAACTTCAGCAAGCTAGAATGAAGTATCGTCTCATTGACATGTCGAGACCAAATAAAATATGCTTGATATCAAGGTTTTGTAAAGCTTTACAACTGCTATATAATTAAGAAATACTGGTTCAGCATAAGTACTAAGATAATGCCATGGCTATGATATTACTCATATCTGTCATAACTATACAGATCTTTCTTTTTATCGATATATCAATTTAATTCAACTACAAGATTCTATCAAGTTAAAGTTTTTTTACAGTACATATCAGGCATGGGATTGATCCAGATTTTTGATAACTAATATCAGCATGAGTATGAGTAGAACAAACCGAACTGAAACGATTGATCTACTAATAAAAACATCATTAGACCGATAAAAATCACTCTATTGATGATCGTTGACACACTGATAATTGAATATTCTATGGAGCCTATCGATTAATTATTTTATTAAAACTTTGCCTTTTAATAAACTAATATAAATTACTAATTGGAAAAAACATAAGCAAAATAATAAATAAAGCAAAATAATTATTGAATAACTCTATTTCACAGAAGCCGAATAACAAATAGATTTAGTTAGTACAAGCAAGTCCACTAACACATTAACTGATCTAAACATTTTCTCATAAATCACAATAGTTGAAATAAGATTTTTCTTATATACTTTACATATTTATAGTAAGTATTAGCATGATATTGTTGTTAACTTAATACCAGTAGAAAAGGAGTTCGATAAATAGTTTTCACATATGCACATTGACTAGTGTAATTAGATGCAAAATCTCACAGAATTTTTATTGAGCTACAATGACCTAGTTCTTTTCGTAATAAACTTTCGTTTTTATTGATACTCCTATCTGAGAAAACATTTGCCAATACTCGTATTTGTTGGACAAATTTAAACAAGATTCAATATTTTTCCTAGGCGTATTTTTGTTTTTTGAAAGATAGGAAAAAGAAATGTGATTGTTTTTGCACGTTTACTGTAATATTTAATATTTCCTAAAATAGAATCAAACAATAATCTTCAGTAATATTAGAACCTAATTATTAATGTATAACACTATACAATGCAAAATAATTTACTGTATAAACTGTTGACTCGAGGAGATTAATAGTAAATATAATCAGTTATGATCAAATTTCCGAGATACTTTGTTCGTGATGAGGACAGGAAAGAATCTCAACAAATTTACATTAATGAATCGACGCGTTCAGTGCAAAATTTGACACGATCATTTAACTAGATTCTATTTCTTTAGATTTATTTCTTATTTAACTTAAAAAAATTAAGAAGTTCGACACATTGAAATTATTATACATGAAACAATATCATATATTGCGTATTTTGACAATAAAATTTCAAATTTAGCACAATCTATTTTTCTATTTTTCATAACATAATATATTATCCTTGAAGTTTTATTTAGTTTGCGAATAACATGTGTTATTTTTACATAAGTGTCATTATTATTCTTATTATACTAAATGACCATCTCATTATATAAGTCGTCATTAATAATAATCTCGCTTTTTTATTAAGTAAATGAAGAGAACTGCGAAGAATATACAATGATTTTTTTTTTATTTATCTCGACTTCTTCATTATATTTGTGTGTGTACTAATGGTGTAGAGAACTTAAAACGAGACCACAATTTATAATTATATTATAATGACATTAACGCGGGGTATCATAAAAGATAAATATATTGTTTTCTCTCTTCTCCTACTCATTTTCTTGTTGAGATATGTATATATTTACATAGATATAGATATATATATGAAGTGAATCTTCTACTATACTCATTTTCTGTTCACATTAGTTTCAAAATCTAGGGAAATTCCGTATACATACAATTTATTAATATCAATTAGATTGACAACAATAAGGTAGACAGTTTGTTTTTGTGCTTCACATCATATTTTATTAGACAAAATGGGTTTAGAGATTAAATATAAAACAGATGTCTTTTAGCTTTTTTATGATTATTCTAAAGAAATAATATTGTCGGTAAGTCAACTATAGACAAGAGCATTAAATCTTTATTCTTAAGAAATAAAAAAAAGAATATTAAATAACTATTTTTCGATGTATGTATACGGTTTAGTGTTGAGTACATCGATAGTCTTTTATTCTATTTAACTTTTCGAAATCGAGAAATATATATATATGTAATTATTATTGTTTTTAGGTTAATTCATAATCATACAAAGATTTTATTATCACAATGTTAAAGTTAATCTGCTCTTTAATGGTAATACTTTCCATTTTTTCAAGTTTATATTTAACTAAGGTCGAAAGTCGAGCTCTCCATCAGGTTAGAAAATAATCATTCTATAAATATTGTATTTATATACATGTATTATTTTAAGAATTATGATGGTGTACCAGCTTCTCAATTTCATCATGTTCGTTTTAACAAACGTCGAAGTATAGATGAAAATCATCATGACACGGATCAAAATGAATATGTTCATAATAAACGCAAAAGTGATTTTCTGTTATCTTTATATGGTTTACCATACACTCTTATAAATAGACGAGCTTTTAGTTAAAAGCAAGAAAATATCGAAATGGAACTGGTCAATTAAGTGTATGGTACAAACACGAATTCTTTATTTTTCTCATTTGTTTCATGTTGTATTTGTCAATTAAAAAACTTCTTTGTATGTTTTGAAAAATAATAATCAAATTATAATGACAGAAAATAAGGAAACTCATATAATATTTTATTGAAATAAAGGTGGGAAAAAAAGAGCACAATCAAATATATATATTTATATAAAACCGCGGAATCGATTTTATTGTCCTTGTTGATGCCACATAGTAAAACATATGGTAGTTAAAAGTAGAGCAATTGTTGTGATAATATTCAATCTAATAAAACAAAATGAAAGAAATTATTGTTTAAAAATAGATATTTATTAATTATCTTACATTTTATTGATACTTTCAGCTGCATCATACATATCATCTGCATAGCCACCATACTGTGTAGAATATTCTTCAGGTATTGCACCGCCACAACAAAATGGTGCACCTTGTTCATCTAAAATAAATTTGTATGTATATATAGATATAGTATAGAATAAAACGATCATTTACCTTCACAACAAGTATCAGATTCATCTGTTTTACATTCAATTTCAAGTGGACATTCAATTAATTCTCCAGATATATTACATACACCAAAACCTTCAGCATTTAATGTTTGATTGACTAATGTTGCATTAAGATTTTCTTGAATGCAATAAAAAACTGTTGGTGCTTTGCCATTTATTTGATCAGGAGGAGTATCAACAACAGGTGGATAACCGTAATTATCTGAAAAAATCGGAATTTATTTAATTTATAAATAGATAAGTTTTTGTTTAGTTACCTTGTGGATAATAGTGGTTATTATGATTATTGTGATTATTCATACGACTACCGGCATAATAACCTGCACCAGCACCCATACCAGCATACATACCCTTACTATATTTTCGTCGTTGATAATATCGTTTACCGAAGTTGACAGCATGAGGTAAAAATTTTTTTCCAGCACGAACCTTAATTATGATAATAATTGATCTATATATAAAATTATAAAAATAAATAAACTATATTTACCCAAGCATTACCGCCACTACCACTAGAACCTGCTACTCCAAATCCACCTCCACTTCCACCTGTTCTGGAACCAAATGCACCACCACCACCGCTTGTAATTTTTCCTAAAAAAGAAAGATTAATTTTTTTAGATGATTATCCGAAAACATCTGCTTACGAATTTTATCACTTAGGCCAGGTTTACTTCCACCTGTACCTGCTAATCCACCAGACGCAGATGGTATTCCTTGAAGAAGAAAAAAAGAAAAACAAATATTTTACAATAATCAAAATTAAATGTTTTCCCAATAGATTCGACTAAAGGAAATTATTGAAACATTATTTGTATTGTTTTATTAAAATGATACTGTCTATCTATATTCGACAGTATTAACTAACCTTCAAGTTCCTTTCTTTCTTTATAATATAATCTATTATCAGACATTTTTTTATTGTAGATCATACTAACCTTTGCCTGGTGACGATGGCTTATGTATCATTGAACGAATTGCGTTACGTACTCGACTTCCAGTGTTACTTGATGATGGCGTACCTATAACATTGATATTTTAATACTACAAATTTTCACAGAGTTTTGTTGTTGCTATACTGACGAGAGAAAATTCGAACACCTTTACCGGATGATGACGATGATGATGACGAACCACTACCTGATATTACACGTTATTTAATTATAGGAATATAAAATATTATTTACTGGGACTTGATATTCGACTGCCAGTGCCACTGGATGATGAACCACTACCTGAAATTGCACGGATATTTAATTATAGAAGTATGAAATACTATTTACTACGACTAAAGAATCGACTACCAGTGCCACTGGATGAGGAGCCACTACCTGAAATTGTACATTATTTAATCATAAGAATATAAAACTTTATGTAATGCAACTACCACTAGATGATGGGCTACTGCCTACAATAAAAATAGTAAGACAATATAACTATATCGACAGAAATTATAATTATTATTTACGGCTAAAAATTCTTGATGATCCACCAGATGAAGAAGATGATGATCGACTGCCTAAATTTTCATTCGTATAAATGTTTGAATAAACAAAAGAAAAGTATTTTACCACCAAAAAAACGTGAGCCACTACTGCTACCACTACTACTACTACCACTTCTACTGAAACTACTACTAAATCGACTACCACCGGATGATGATCGACTACTGCTGCTGGAGGATCGGCTACCACTGCTGCTACTAGATGAACGACCTCGACGATATCGTTTTAATATTTGATTCACATCATTGTCTAAATTTAAATAAAATAATCGTATTTTTGTTCAGTAAAATTGGTTTCGTGCATATTTATACCTGAATTCATTTGAGTTAAATCAAAATCCGGTATTGATTCGAATTCATCATTATCCGATGAAACTCGAGATGAAGAAATAGCATCACAAATAGCACGTACTCGTCGTGATTTTATTTCCGAATTCTTATTATTATTATCATCGATATCATTTAATGATTCACATAGTGGTAAATTTTGTGTATTTATTATTGAAACAAACGTGAAAATAATAATAATTATTATTAAAATAATATAACTTTGTCGGAACATATTTTTCTTTTTTCTGTTATTTGTACTCAAACAACATGAATATTTCTTAGAACAACTTATTGACTATATATGTCTGGATAACTAATGTATAACAATTTTCTTCGTTAATTGTACCGTATTGAGAAAAGAAAAAAGAAAAGCAATCGGAATAACTCTATGGAAGAAGATATATTAGCAAATACACAGTACCCAAACGATTCGACATATATCAGATGAGAAAATATATCTGTCAAGAATAGAAAGAATTATTGACCAGTAAGAAAAATATGCTAGGCATTTTTGCTTATATGTTCGACAGAAAATATTCTCACAGATAAATATATCATTTTTCCTATTAAGAAAAATTTAAAAGGGTATTTTAAACATAAAAATCTACAAAATAGTAAGCAGCGACTATTATCAGGATGGTATTGTTAAAAGATGTTCATATGATGAAAATGCACTACGAAACGATATCAAGTCATCATCAATTAGATCTAATTGTTTTTGACGTGTGTTAATCGACGATGACAATTGAACAAGTTTATTTAGTTGTTCTATGCGTTGTTCGATAGAAGATATAAGGCGATTGATAAAAGAACGGGATGATGTAATTTGAGCAATTTTTAGTAATAATGAAAGACATTCAACAGTAGCTAATAACGTTGAATATCTAAAAGATAAAAATATATATTAAAAAAAAAATTCTTTCTATAGTTTATTTTACTTTGCTTCAAGTAATTCACTATCTCGTGGCATTTCATTACTAGTACGTTTAACATCATCAATCTTTAGCTTTAATTTATTTAATTGATTCATAAATTCACCGAGGAAATAACCATTATCATTAAATAGTATTATAATATGATTCATTTTACTTAAATCATATAAACGAGAATGAAGAATATTCAAATCATTAACTAATTCGTGTTCATTACATAATCTAAAATAAACAACACAAGAAAAAAAACTTCTAGAAAAATAAAACGTGATTATCTACCTGGTAGATTGTATTGGTTCATCAAATTCATCGGCATTTTCTTCACTTGAATCTTCTACGATAGCATCTAATTGTGTTGATCTTGCTACTGATGATGATGACTTTTTATTCACCATTTTCAAATTAATAGTATCAACTACTTGTTGCATGTTGTCATCATTACTAGAGTTATTTTCGTTGTCATTTGATGACATTTCGTTTTTTACAGCATCATCATTTGATATTAAATTTTGATTATATTCATTTAATTTTGTATTTTCTAATGATAAATTAAAATCAGATAAAATATTTGCATTTTTCTCAACTGTTTGTAAATGTTTATTATGTGTATGACCATTTAAAAAAGTTTGTAGACTATAAAAAATAATATATATATATACATATAAAAAGCTTAAACTATGAAAATATGAGATATTTTTTCAGCTTATCTATATTGACTTTGTCAAAAAAAAAGAAGAAAAATGTATCGTTAAAAGTTACTTACTTTGATTGATGATTTTGTTGTTTCTTTGATTTTTTTTTATTATATTTTACTGTTGCAAAACAACTCCTCCATGACCAGTAATGTCGGCTAGTGTTTAATTCACTCATATTTAATTGGAAAAAAATATCTTTAATATAAATGTTGAGTTGTAAATAATCACCGTTCCGTTCTGTCAACTAGGAATTGCAGACCGCTTTATGCTGCTATTACTACTGCCGTTATTCTTATTTTAGAGAGAAAGAGAAACAAAGAGAGGGAGAGAGAGAGAGAAAATGAATAGGGAGCAGAAAAAAAAATAAACGCAAGAAAGGAGAGAAATATTAACAAACAACAACGAGACGATGACAACACGATCCGATCTCTATATGGCGAACGACAACGATTATAGCAATAGAATAGAATGTGTCAGGATGTCACCCTCACCCATTTTATTCATGTTCGTATTGGCTTTTTATTTCTCGATTTCAAAATTTAAATGTCAAAAGAAAATATAACCTATATCAACAGATTTCTATGTATTGTCGACGACTTTTTTTTTTGTTCTATACTTTAGGCTTTCATTGTATCGGCTCGTAATCGAGTGTTATTCAATGAATATATACACAACATATGATTTCATTCAAAGTATTGCTATTATTTTTGTTCATATATTGA